TGGAAATATAAATGACTCAACTCGCCTCAAGTCTTTTATCTTTGCCCACAATGTACTGTTGTAACTTTGATAATATTTGTTCTCAGATTCTTAAGACTCATTACATACCAAATTACAGTTTAAGCTAGGTATTAGCTCTGGGTTTCAGAAAGTTAATTATTCACTCAAAAGGGAACAAGAATGAATTTTAAAAACAACCTGCTACAATTACTGGCAGGAAAACTGATAGGAGGTGTAAAAATGCATAAAACTTAACTGACTACATTTTAAAGATGTTTTTGTACAGTACCTGTGACACTCGCGGAATATTCCTAAGGAGTTTATAGCAATGATTGAGTTGTGCCAGTGCTGCTACATAATTTTGGAACAAATATTTTTAAAGTATGCATTTTTTGGGGTAGAAAGAGATAAACTCCTACAAAAAAAAATCAAAAAAGCTTGGTCTCCTAGAAATTCAAACAGACAGTTGAAATGACGTTTACTTTTACAAGTCAATGCAACAGATGTAGAATTGATCTGCATATTTGATTCACCAGCAATCCAGTAAAGTAAATCTTGAATTATCTTTTGGCTACTCTTAAGTAAACTTAAAGTAAACTGCGGTAAAAAGGATGTAGGATGACTCAGTCAGACCAATGACGGAGTTCCACACATTACAAGTGATTACTAGACTTTTCACTTCAGAATAGTGAATTCCCCTGCTCTTCTTCAAAAAGGCCTGTGGAATCCTTTACATCCCCTTGTTATTTAAAACCAAAAGTTCACCAACAATAGAAGACACAATGTGCAGTAAGTGGAGTGTCAGCATAGAGTGATCAATTTAAAGTTTAATAATATCACAAATCTAAGAACAGTTTAGGGATAAATCACCATATTGGAGCACGTAGTTACTAACAAATATTGTGAAGGCTCAAAATCCTTTAAATTTAAAAATTAAACCACCTCTCTGGTAACATTCTAAAATCATTGCGTTTCCTAACAGTGAGCACACCTCATCCAATGGAAGAGGAACTAAACTCCAGGTAGTGAAGGTTTTATTTCCCCAGATTTGCAAGTTGCCAATTATTTCCAATTACTTGGCAATTGTTCCAGTGATATAAAGATTAAGAAGCTAAAATGAGAGCATGAAATCCCATTTTTTGTTTTTTTTTCCCCTCATCTTGAGAGTTTCACTTCTTTCATGAACAGCAGATGTACAAATCTTATGCCTTTTCTACGGTGATTGCTAGAAAGCTACAGCACCATATTCACATCCAAAGAGATGCATACACTTTCCAGCAAAAATCAATGGATAATATTTAGAATTGGATATCTCTAAGCTGTGGTGGCATCACGACTAACCTTGGAACTCACTAAATATCAATGTACCTAACCACCACGCCTGCAGCCAAAGAGGCAGCTCACCATCACCTTCTCAAGAGCAATAAATAAATGTTGGCCTAATCAGCAACACCCACATCCCATGTACAAACATAAAAACCAATATGTCTGTTGTTGTTCCAATAGAAGGCAGCAAGTTCAAACTGTAGGAATCAATCCATGAAAATTTTCATCAATTGAGTCACTCGAATTTTTAGATAGCTTTAAGTGGGAGCTAAATAATCCAGTTCTTACGTTCCAGTTACTATAGAAAACGTATCAATAAACGACAGCATTCCTGGCAAACTGATTACTGAGTGTTCACAGTGCACTTCCTATGGATATAAGAATTTGGAATACAATCAAAAACAGTGGGAAAATTTAGCAGAACACATACTTTTACGAAGATCCACTGAAAATAACATGACAGTATTGCAAGCACCATACCACAGCCTAAATTTCCCCTCCGTTTATCAGCACATTATAGATTGAAGTACAGCTCTGCTTTCAACTGCAGCTGTTTAACACCCCTCACATTTCAATGATATGTGCAATACTGCTATCAATTTAGTTTTTTTTTAAACCAAGGGTAAGTGTATAACTATTAAAATAAAGTAAACTCTACAATCATCACCAGTTCACCTCAGCCTCCAGCAAAGAGATACCAAAACCAACTGTACAGTTAGTGTCAGTCTCCAAATAACCATCACAGAAGAGACCACGAATCTCAACCTTCCTAGACCAGGCCAGTAGCACAGTCATTACTTTATCCACTGATCAATCAGAAAAGGTAGTGTAGAACCTATTGAGGTTCCCATGAAGTTCAGAAAAATGCATATATAAATGGCATTGCCTGCTTTTGTATTTCCTTTTCTCTTCCTGAAGGAAGTCCTTGCAAGACAACACATGTACCACGCAGCACCACAGTACTTTAATATTATAACAGTTGTCGAAACTTTAAGAAAACTTGTCAGATGTCACAATCAATTGTATAATTAAGCTGCTTTTTAATCAGCACATCAATATGCTTCACCTAAGGAGAGTTACTATTCAGTAGAATCGAAACTGCATATGAAAGATAATTTTTTTTAATCAATGCCTCTTCATAAACATTACAGTTGGTATAAGAGAGGAAGGCACATCTAATCAATATTTGGGGTGCACAATGTTTAAAATGCAGCACATTAAGACCTGGCTCATTTATCTCTTAGTTTTCTGTTTATAAATGTTCTGTAAACCAGTCAGCCATATATGCAGACGAATTGCAAAACATCAGTTAAACTGCCTTTTAGAATGCAAGCAGCAGCAATACATGACTGTGGGAAGCTTGCAGATGACACAGCAGGTTTCAAAACCTACACTAATGATCGACTAATCATCAGCCTGATTTTGTGATTGGACAACCAAAAACACTCAGATTCCAACTGTTGGTCTGTTGCAGTTGATGCTTTGGATTTTTGTTTAAAAAAAATCCCCAGAACAGCTGTCACTACAGCTCCCTACTATTGAACAATTAAGCCATTGCTTCTTAAATAAAATTTAACAGCTTTCTGGCTTTGCAGCCTTGCTGCACTTTGCTCCTTAGCTTAGAAAATGCCTTGCTAAAAGCTTAGGACAAAAGGAAATCAGCAAGTAGTCTATTAATAGCTGCTCTCACCTGGTTCTGTTAAAAGCTTTCACAATACAAGCATTCTAGTTTTTCCCCAATGGATTCTTCTCTTTAGCTTGCACAGCTATGTACTCAATTTACAAGCCACACATTGACTATTATCTGAAAGCACAGGGTCTGTGCCCACTTTGTTTTGATGGCACACAGCAGTATCTCACTTTCTTCTCCATTGATGAAAAGCTAATTACTACACTTACAAAACTGTTTGTTTGACATTGCAGTTTGAATGAACCATGTCCAAAAAAAAAACCAGAATTAGATTATCCAAACTCATTTCACACAAGACTTTTAGTACAACTTCTACATCATCAATCTGAACTGAATTTGAACAAAGAACACAGTTTGAACTCAGCTGAAAGGCCAGTAGCTAATTTAATGTAACATCAAGTTTTTAACCTGTTGCACTCGAATATATACAGGCGTGTAAACATTTAGCAACACAATAGATGAAAAAGTGTAAGTCGAACGGAAATCAACGTCAACAGAAGAGAAAACTAGCACAGGAGTGCACAATTTAACAGGGGTAACAAAGGAAAAGCAATTCTTCTGGTCCAACATACTTTGAAATGGTTTTAATGTTCACAATTCTGGGCAAACTGCATAAGACAGTTCAGCACTTTAGTGGCAGTTCTTCACTGGGGAAGAAAAGGGAAAAGGCACCCATGATCACTTAAGCACAAGTATACTGGCTGAGATTTGCTGGCCCTGCTGGGAGATTTGTTCACTCAAACTCAAATAGGAGAAAGACAAGACTGCAAGTAGCAATGCAGCACGTGCAAGCACCTTTATCCTTTCACATCCAAAATCTAGACATTATAGCCCAGAATCTAAATTGAACTGAGGATTGGATCAATACAGAAATTGTCAAGGAATTTACGTGTGCAGTAAACTACAAAAAAAAAGGTCTTTCACCTTGGGTTTCAATGCAAAGTTATAAGGACAGCCATGAAATCACTTCCAGGTTTGAGATTTACATGAACAGCTAGAGTTCAGCATAGGAGATCTAACTTTCACAAAACTAGTTCCACTTTGCATTAAAGTTGAACAGAATATGGTTTACCAGTTGGTCAATTGTCTTCCACTTACATAGGATCAAGAGAAAAATTAGGGATGTAAAACATTCCCCAAGGGAACTGCACTGTTTCGATCGGCCACTGTCTCTGCACAAAAACATGAAAAGATGCCATGACATTACTACTTTAATCGGCAGTGAATCTGTGTTTTTTTAAAAACTATTTTCCATTTCGTTTTGGCACAAAAGCTCCATGGTGTAAACAGGAAAGAAAATAAATCTGCTCATTAGAGCTAATTAGCTGATACTGTTACACCAGGATCCTGTGCAATACTTGACTTAATCCTTCTGCCTAATAAACTTTGATCCATACTGCAAATGTGTGTAAATACTGTGACAATAATTCCAACGCTTTTCAATTCTTTCTCCCTTCCCTCCTAAACAGATGGAGTTTGTAGTTCCATTGGCACTAGCAGCCTTTGAATATTAGTGAACTAGCAAAAAAATGAGCAGGCTCTGCAACCACAGGTGTATCACAACAAATTCCAAAAACCTGACACACACACACACAGTTATGGGTAGTGATGAGCAGCAAATTAGTTTCTTTCACCTTCCTCACAACGGGGAGTACAGAATGTTCCTCCTATATGGTACAGCACAAGTGTATTCTTGTCCAGTGAAGCTAACAAGCTTGCTTTGAATACCCTCCTGCCACTCTAGCTCTCAGGACGGTATTCACGAATAAGCAGTGAACTCCAAATAATTTGAGAACAGCAGTGGAATACTAACTGCACTATAGTTATTGTACTTCTGCCCAATAATAACCAGAGAGTTTGGAGCTGAATACATCAGTACAAACATTTTACAGGGTGGTTCTTTTTCTACAAGTTCAGCTGAACCATATTAGAACCATGAAGCACATCAAATAATCCTCTGTACAGAAATCAGTACTGAACTCACCTGTCACATCATACCATTTGGCTCCATTTGTGATCCCATCCTCAAAGGTTTCTCCAGGAGGGTCAATGAGGCAATGTGTCTTGCCAGTTTTCATCACCGGATGCTTGGAAGAGTAACTTTTTGCCAGGTATTTAAAAACATCATCATCAGGGCTCTTACTGTAGTATCCTACTGACTTGTGAGTTTTGGAATTGTCATATGGATAGCTGGCAACAACAGATCCACCATGGAGATTCCCAGAAGCCACAAACTTGTTTTCTATACGAATGAAAAATTATAAAACAAAATTTTAAAAAAGTAGTAAAAGCACCTGCAGATGTGTTAAGTCAATTGCACTGCATTTCAGGGAGTTCAAAACATAATAGGCAATTGTAAGTGATTTTACTGCTGAATAACAACTACTTTACCAGATAGCATGTTCCTGTGCAAAACATTTTTGCTGTTTGCCTTGCATGTTTTCTCCCTGGATTTTTTTCTTTTCATAAGTCTGCTGGGACTTTTACTTGCATTTCCTCAAGTATTTTTCTATTAGCTTGATACCATCTCGTACCTCCTATCCCAAGTACACCTGTCACATACTGCTTCACCTTTGACAGGCAAACCTTAGAATAGAGTCATGTTGATTCAGTAGGATTCAGACATTCGTATCCAAAGTGAACAGCAATAAGAAAGTGCATTCTCTTCACAGGTAAATTATCAGTACACTCTAATCTTTGTTCAACCTCTTGAAATATCTTTTGCAGTTTTGTTACCTCTTCTACAATCTAAATTCTATATGGTTGAATAATAGTAAAGATGTACTGGATTTTATCTTGACTATGGTTAAATTTAGCATATTTCCACAATTTACTTACATTTCCAAAACCTACAAGACTATAAACATACAAGAATGTAATATGAAATTTCAGACAGGACTTCCTAGTCTAGGTAGTCAGGATTTGGCTCTTCATGTCTAAGATACAAACCTCCAGAATATACTTAATCACTCCATAACTACTGGCGTGCTTTCACCCACGTCCCTTTCAGAGTTGACAGTTCAAGTGATCAACAGCAGCCTTCAAACTGTCAGAATTCCACAGCCATTCCCATCTATATACATTTGCATATATCCTGGTCAAACTCTACAGGCTTCCTGTGCCATAGATAAAAGAATTCAAAAATCCTTTTAGGAATTGTAATGAATATGCCAATAATCTCATCTGCACATTCTTCCCCCTATACTTTCTCTGCTGCAAGAGACTACTTTCCTGATCCTCATACTACAAGGTCCTCTGGAGTGGTCTCCAAAACCAGCTTACTTTATTCTATTACTAACCTGTTCCTGGATTCCTAAAGACTCAGAAAAAAAATCCAATGTCGGGAGTAATACAGTAGTGATGAAACATTGCTGCACAATTAAAACCAAAAGTGGACATTCATAATACAGCACAAGACAGTCAAAACTCAAACTCCTTTTGTTTGTGTAACACAATGTGCTACTACATTTTGTTGATACTATAACAAGAAAGAAATGATCACCTTAAGTGGTATTACTTAACTGGGTCACAAAAACAGTCAACAACTAAAGTTTTGGAATATTTCATGTACTCTTCGCAACAGATGGCACACAGCATGGGCTGAGTGTGCATAATCAAGGGTAATTTCAGTGACTGGAACAAGATTTATATTCACCCAACTTCATTTTATTAAATTACTGTACTATGTGCACATATAAAGAGAGCCCGTATCAAGTTGCTAAAGCCTTCCTCATCATTATTATTCATTCGATCACACTACTGTCTTCTTGTGATAGTAATCTGAGGACGTTCAATATTTTACACTGGAGCCTGCCATAAACAGAAATAGAATAACCCATTCAAATCTAGATAAACAAAAACGTCAGCATGCTTACGATAATGATCCAAAAACCAGAGAAGCATTGAGAGAATACAGGCAAGCCACATTATAAAGTGCGGCCAGGAGACTTTGAAATGGGCTGCACCTTATGACCCAATTTGTCTCATCAGCATTATGTACCCATATAACTGTGCATATTTTTTTTAAATTCAAAGGATGTTGGTGTTGCTGGCAAGTGTTGCCAGCATTTACTGTCCATCTGTAATTGCCCAGAGGGCAGTTGAGAGTCAACCACTTTGCTGTGGGCTTGGAGCCATATGTAGGCCAGACAGGCGATTTCCTACCCTAAAGGAGATTAGTGAACCAATAGACCTTTTTCCTGACAATCAGTTGTTTCAGAGTCATTAGACTTTAAATCCAGATTGTTATTGAATTCAAATTCTACCATCTGTTGTGGCAGGACTCGAACCTGAGACTCCAGACTAATCATCTAGTGATAATGCCACTCAACCATCACATGCCCACCATATACTCGCACATTACACTACATGTGGAAACTTCCAAGTGTAGCAAATCATTAATATTAAACTTCAAAACAGTGTAACTCAGTTGGATGTTTATCCCATTCAGAGAAATCTAATCTGTTGCTTGTATCATTCAAGATGAACTATGCATTGGCTTGGTGCCAAATTTTCGTGAAGTGCCTTGGACAAAAAAAGTGGTCTCTACAAATGCAAGTTGCTACAGTGACCCCAGATCTAATCAGTGTGACAGCTTCAAATACATGTTTTATATAACATAAATAATAGGATACCGGGTGAGACAGAAAGAGTTTATCCTGACGTGGAGGATAGGTGGTGAGGAGAAAGCTTACCCCCATATTTAAAGAATGAGAGTGAGAAAAAAAAGAGAATGTACACATTTATCAGGGTATCACCCCTTCAGTCTGGAGTTGACCCCCACAATTAAAAGGATGGGGTAGGGGAAAGAGTTTAGAACCAGGACAGGTGGGGGGAGACAGTTTCGCAAGCAATTCCAGTACCAGGGAGTTGGGAGGGCTAAGGGCTGACTCCCGAAATTACAGTATTGGGAGGGGGGGGGGGGGGGTAAGCGTTTACCTACCCGCCCCCCCCAACAAACACACACACCTTTAATCCACTTTTCCATCGCGATGACTTCGGGCACATCCTCCTCGTCCACGACCACCGACGCGAACTGATCCAAGAAGCTCCTGTTGAGGTCTCGGTCCCTGGCGTTGTTCCTGCCGCCGTGCTCGCCTCTGCAGTCGCCCTCCACCGACTTCTCGAAGCCGTCGGGGTTCATGCTGGGCATGATGTAGATGTCGGTGGTGTTGATCAGCCGGTCGACCCGCTCGTCCTGCCCGTAGCTCTCCAGCAGGTACTCGATCAGGTAGACCAGCACCTGGCGGGACACCGTCTCGTCGCCGTGCATGTTGCCCACGTACTTGAACTTAGGTTTTCCCGGACTGTCCACACCCGGCGTGGTCGAAATCTCCATGACCCAAAGGGAACGGTTCTGGACGCTCTGGCCGATGCTGAAGAGCCTGGTAAGGGAGCCGTGAGCGGCCGCCAGAGCCTTCAGCAGCTCGGTCAGGCTCTCGTAGTTGTAATAACGGGACGTGTCAATGGCGACCGGAGCCGTCCCTCCGCCACCCGGCAAGAAGGCAGAAAGCAAAGCCAAAACGCATAGACATTCCAGGCACAGAAGCCCGTCGAAACGCCGCCGGTCACTCGCCATCTTCTCGAACCGTCGCCTAAAACGAAGGGAACAACCGCCCCAACCCGGCCGAAGACACGCAGCCACAACCTAACGCGGGTGGCCTGATTGACATCCCATCCGACCAATCCTGTCTCCGCTCGCCACCGGGAGCCGATTCCTATTGGATGGAAGACCCGCATCGCGCTGCGTCATGTTTAGCTGCACCCGCACACGTTCGACGCTGACGTTAGTGCGTCCCCGCTCCACCCCCGAGTCGGACCTTTCAAAAGGTGTTCGTACGCATGCGTGTTCCTCCTCGCCTTTCCTCTCAGATAGGTGTCAGGGATACACCTGGGGTTCGTAGGTCCCTGCGCTGCTCGAAACTGGGTCTCATTTATCAGCCCAGGGATTAGTTCCCAGCATGGTTTCTTTCACCATCTTATGGCTCTTATGCCAAGGGAGCAGGCGGAAGCCAATTCCATCAGTCAATGGATTACAGGATTGAATTAAGTACCTGGTAAAACTTGACATGTGCCAAATGTGTGGCTGGCAATGTGGCTGTAGGATCCAGCTCATCAACCACCCACAAAACCCCTAACTGATGACACAGAATTCCCTAGGGATAATCATGCTCGTTAGCCAGTGATCACCGGCGACAACTTTGATAGATGATTATGAGAAATGTTGTACTCTCAGGTGATTAAAATTTTAGCTCACAGGTAATCATATATTTTATTTCTGGCAGATGTTGTCAATGCCTGACACCTCTTAACCTAAAGAACTGCATTATCATTTGGGGCAAATTACTGAGATGAGGTGACTCGGAGTATTGAGTATATGTTTCTGGGAAAATGTTCAGTATGTGTTTTAGAGATGTTGAAGCAAAGGCGTTTTGAAAGGTAAAATAATCACAAGAGACAACAGACCACCTCTCTATATTACAGAGTGGCAAGTGGTTATATAGTACGAGGGGAACCACTCTGCATCGAGAACAGGGCAAAGCAAGGAGGCAGCCCTCCATAAACTACCCCAACTGGCACAAGAATTGAATCCGCAACATTGATGTCATTCTGCACCACACTGTTGCCATCTCACCAACTTACTAAATCATTCCCTGCAAAAGAGTTTGTGCTGGGATAATTAAGTGCTGGGTATTGACAAACAATACTAACACAAATGTCAAAAAATATGTTGGAGCGAATTAATATGTTTTTCAGTAGAGTATCACACTGTAGCTTTATAATTTCTATTTGAAGCTCCTCTGCTATCTCATGTACAACGATAGAAAATGGCATACTGAATATTGCAAACTTTCCTTCACAGTTCCTGAAGCCATAGAATCATTCTTTTAATTCCTTTCGTGCAGGGATAGGACATTCTTTGGAGAGTTGGTGCAGACCCGAAGGGCCAAATGCCTCTTTCTGCACTGTAGGGAATTCTATAATTCTATAATTCTGTTTCAATCTCATGGAAATTTTAGATTTGCTTTCAAAACCAAAAGCCTATCTGATGACATGTCAAACAAGTAATTATGCCAAGCATGCAGTCGGACATGAATCTATTGCAACTCAGGTTGCAGATAGTCCTATGTGTATCATCACAAATATGTCAGGGAGGAAAATAATTTAAACAAGTAGTTTTTGCAGTTGTGGAGCTAGTAATGTTCTGTAAGTCATGTGGTGATAGAGACTGAATCTCTCTCTCTCTCTCTGCTTTTTTTGATCTTTGAACAGTGAGGATGTCCTCTTTGCTCCTGATGCCCAGGTATTAAATGTTTTGATTTTCCTCTACTTTCTTGTATTTTGTAACCTTTTAATTTACTAAAACCTTGTCTTTGAAACTGATAACATACTACTGTTGCAAAGTTCATGGCTATTTAAATAATGAATACTTTGTAGATTGAAATTAATATAATTTTTGCATTACCAAAATGCCAAGTAGAAAACATATTGAGTAAAACACAACTATTTCTTACAGCCTGTCCAACTCATGAGCAATGCAGTCTGTGAATTTGTTCACTAAAAGTGACTGATTTCTGCCATATGATTCAGTAACTACTTATTTAGACTTATACAGTTACATTTGATGTGGGCCCTCATTGACACCGAAGTCATTCACTTCTTCTTTTGTGGATCATGGGAGGAGGAGATTTCAAACTTCAAAGTTGATGAAGTTCACAATTCCTTATGAGTTTGCCACCAGATGCCGATCACGAGACAGAGCAGGACCTCCATGTTAATGTTGCTGCTTACATGAATTACAGGGTAATCTGGAGGAACCCAAAGACAGAGAGAGACCCAAAGACAGATCTTTTTTATTTGAAAAGCACTGATATGTCAGTGGCACACGGAAAATATGAATGGACCATCACAAATGTTGCTGTGTGGAGTTGGTTTTCTTTCCAGGATGTTTCACTGCACCATGCACAGAGGTTTGAGGCCGAGTTTCACTCATACCCCTCTGTACAATATCACTTAGTAATTTGGGGCGAGTCCGTCCCCAATTGTGCCTCCCTTCCAAATGTAATGTTGGCAGTTGATCCTGCTTTGGGCTGAGCAATCCAACTTTGAAGTGGCCTTTACCAACATGTTTTAAAATACAGATTTGACACCGAGGGCAGGACTTTGCGTTTGTAGGTTGGAATCCGACTGTTGGGGTTCAATGTGGGTCCCAGGCCAACGCAGTGTCTGGAGCAGTGAACAGACATCAGCATTGCCTCTGGATGGGTCAATTAACGCTGGTCAGCACCCTAGAGGACAGTGAGAGTGTTTTCACAGCATCAATAGGAGGCCCTCCAAAGTGGAAGGATCTGCAACTTGCGGGTAAAGGAGGGGGGGAAGAGGGGGTCGTTTCATTTTGATGTACCCTCTCTGTACTTTGAAAACTTCTAAGAAAATAAACAACCAGAGTTTCTGGACCACCAAGGAGAAGGAGGACCCTACCACATGACAATCCAGGGCCACAAGTTTCTAAGTCTGTTGCAGTGTTCTTTTAATTTTCTTAACAAACTAGGGGTGACTTTATAGAAGCCTATAAAATCATGAGAGGCATAGATAAGGTAGATAGTCAACAGCTTTTTCCCATGGTAAGGGAGTCTAAAATTAGAAGGCATAGGTTTAACTGAGAGGGGAGAGATACAAAAGATCCAGTGGAGCAATGTTTTCACACAGAAGGTGGTAAGTGCCAGAGGTAGTGGTAGAAGTGAATACAACTTTATTTATTTAATTAATATATTGTCACTTGTACGTAGGTACAATGCAAAGTGGATAATGTCTGCATGTTTCAGCACCATCTTGGTCTTTTATCATTTAAGAAACACTTAGACAAGTATATGGATGGGATAGGCATGGAGCAATATAGAAGAAATGCAGGCAAGTGGGACTAGTTTAATTGTGAAAACAGGCAGCGTGGGCTAAAGGGCCTGTTTCCATGCTGTAGACCTCTATGACTCTATAACTCATGTAGATATTTTAATCAACCTGTTCAGACAAGTTACGGCGCACCTCTGGTGCAGGTGGGACATGAACCTGGCCCTTCTGGTCCAGAGGTAGGGGCACTGCCCTGGTGCCACAAGCACACTAACAAGCTCCTGTATCTGCCCCCTGTAGGTGGATAGCAATTCCACCCTCATTCTGGCTGGCAGGGTGATGCTGGCAAACCAGTGCACTGTCTGGTGGCATATGCTCCATTGGCCTTTCTGCCCTGCTATTTGGCAAAGGTCATTGCCTCAATCTACTACTTTGCACCATTTCTTTTGTGAATCACTTTTTTTTATAATTAATGTTTTTGATTACTTTTCAGGAGCAATGTAGAAAACAGCAGAACTCAAGTCACCATCTCACCCTCTTGTGTGTTTATTTTGCCCTGTTCTGATTTAGACAAAGCATAACATACCTGAATGCAAAGTACTTTCTTTCTTGCTTAACAATGCAGTTTAATATAGAAAACCCATATGCAAACTGCATCCCAGTACTCCACCTACATATTTAGATCTCAGTCAATATTTCACATTTTCCTCAGACATCAAAAGTCAAAAGCATGCTTTTAAATTTTCAAAACTTTGTGGTGTAATCCAGAAATCATGAAAATATTTGTATATTAGCTTAATGTCTTAAAAAAATTCCCGTGAATTTTTGAGATCTGCAGATAACGTATGTATCACAATGTGAAAAGAAGTAGCTTACCCGGAATAAAGTGACAGTTTTGTCATGATCTGTCTATTTTTAGACAATTGCTGATTTACTACAGTTGGGCATATGAGAGCTATCTCAAGATTAAACTTACATCTTGGTTTCACAAGTGGTAATTCGCTGTTTAAAAATAGGAGAGTTCCTGATGCTGCATTGTATAGGAAGCGATTTATCAAAGTAGATGAGTCATGACAAGGTGATATAAGGTTTCTCAACCAATGGGATATTATGCAAATTTTTTTTTAATAAAAGGTTATTGAATAGCAGTAGAGTACCTCATCTGTTCTGAGCACAATTTTGGATGGAAGTCGGCGAAATTATCTCTGATCAAATTCCACAAAAAGTTGATAGTTGCCTGGTTTTTGTGATGTTGAAGGTCCCAATGTGAATGAATTTAGGCAGCCTTAAAACAGTGTTAAACCCAGGTAAATGGAATTGAAGTACGGGACAATCATGGTCTGATTAAGTAGCAGAACAGACTTGGGGAATTAAATGGACTGCTGTTGTTCCTATATTCCTTGACTTACGTTTAGAACTAAAGTGTAACACCCAAACTAGCATTACTAGATTGGTAAAAAGAAAAATACCACCCAGCTGCTGGTTGAAACATATTGAGAAAGGATAAATCAGAAGTGTTTCACCCTATACCTCACCACACTGGTCTTGGCTTTTGGGATTTAATGCTGAAAGACATTAAGACATTAATATCCATCGGCGTTATGGTGACACACTCCACAAAAAATGTTTATAAGATTGTGCAGTTTTATTACAGCTAATAAGCTCAATGTGAGAGTACCTTTTCCAATTTATACACCAGTTAATTTTGAAAAAAGGACTTAATGTATCTGTTAGAAAACTTCTGTAATCTATAATCTCAAGAGCGATTATATACACATATTTATCGTGATGAAAGTCCATGATTGTATATTGTTATTTAGAAATTGGT